ATGACGGCTGCCTTAATTAAGAATATCTGATTAGAATTTTTATTTTTACTCAGATTGTCCAGGATGATGTAAATATCGTCTTGGCCGATTTGAGTAAAAACAGAATTTCTAAGTCTCTCAAGTGTGTGTGTAGGGTTACTTAGCATCAGTCTCTTTGAACATTACAAATAGACTTAAGAAGAAAAAAAGCAAAGTACAGACTGACAAAATCCTAACCTACGCAATGTTGATCTGGCTTCGTTTGTTCGTCCAATCTTTGATTCCTGAAAAGTTAGAAGTAACGTGTAGTCCAAGAGAATCAATAGTGTTTGTCAATCATCAAAATATATGTCATGAAAATAGATTTGCAATAATAATTACCAACTAAAAAGGACTGACCATCAATATGGGATTCAACCAGCCTCACGGGAGGAGGCAAATCACCCTCTAAAAAAAGCACACCATCCTCAACAGTAGAAAAATTATTCGAAAAACCCTCCAAAGGAGGCTTGGAAGGAATTAAAGAAGAGACCGCACTTACAACCGTAGGCTCCAAAGCCTTGGAGGCCACAAAACCAAGGTTAATCATGGGCGAATCAATATCCCCAAGATCAAGCACAACTTCAAGGTTATCCGAATTATCCACAGTTATTGCATCATGCCATTTATCTTGATCTATGGGAGAAAGAATCTTGTTAGAAGGCACATCATCTTCAACAAGCATATGAGAGGAATTAGGGACTATATTAGGAGATAAAATAGGATCATTAGAAATCATTATAGCATTAATAGAAATAGTAGGAACATTAGGGATTTTATCCAAATCCAACACATTAATAAGAAGAACATTACAATCCTGCTGTGGTTCATCAGTATTAACAACCATATCATTAGAAAGAGCGGCCTCATCCCCATGCTCAGTATTGTAATCCTTAAAGCCAGAAGCAAAGGCAACCTCAAAATTTTGAATCAACGGTTCCTTAGAGCCATAACCAGAACCAGACCCCGCACCTAAATCATTAGGTTCTTTCAAAAAATTTTCCCCATGAACCAGGCCAACATTAGAAGTAGAAGGCCCTTTATCCTTACGAAGATTAGGGTGCAAACGAAAACATTCATTAATACCATGTCCATGCATCCTACAATGGGAGCAAAAGATAGGAAGATTTTAAAAATCCACTTTTTGGAAATACCCCTTCAATTCTGATCCCAACCAAATTTCTTGAGGATGCTTTTTGGATACATCAAGATCAACCAAAACTCTAGCCATAGAAGGTCTCGATAACGAAGCAGTAGCTTGATCAATTTGTAAGGGTCTACCAAACACAACAGCAAGTCCAAATAGAATATGAGTATTAAAAAAATATAACCGAAGGTTAGGGAACGATATCCACACCCGGGAAATAGGAGATTCCTCCCTCACATCAAAATCCGGTGACCATTTAAGCAACTCTTTTGACACCCATGAACATAATACAAACGACAAGAAAAAAATATGACTATAATCCAAATCATTCGTAAGTTGTATTGCTATGTGACTAGGATCCAAAAGCCCCACATTAAACGGACCAGAAAGCTTAAGTGTGAGAAAAAAATTATGAATAACATCTAAATTCGGACGACGCAGAACAATTTTTCTGACAAGGGTAAAGGAAAAAGGCTCAGCAAGCTGAGAAACCACGTAATCTTCAAAAAATAGCACATGACAGCCCTTAAACGAAGATCTCACAGAAGGAACCCTAGCAGCCGAAGAAGATGAGCTACCTGAGACAACATCTTTAAAGGATCGATTCTTACTAATCAGAACCAAAGATGCCAGAGGGATGGATGACGTAGGAGACGTCATCCCCCCCCCTCCACAACTACCAACCGAACCAAAAAACACCACAACGACAAGAAGAAAAAAAATAGTCGAAGGAACGAAAAGAAACCCGAAGAAGGGACAGAGCCAGAAAAGGAACGAAGTTACCACAAGGAAATAGATCAGCACAAGCAAAGATCACCGGAAGAGACCGATCAGAGGCCTCGAGCAAGAGCAGAGAGAGCACCACAAAATCGCCCAGGTGGTCAAATTTTTTTAATAATGCTACTTGTCTGTCTTTTTAAAGATTTTTTTGGCTTTTACAAAAAAGTGTGAAAAATTTCTTTAGGATTACTGGATTCAAATTTTTCCAAGGACGATACCCAACCCTACTAATAGGTGTTTAGTAGAAGATAGTTAGAGAACCAAGTGAGAACATGTTTAGTATAGAGGTTAAGTTGAAACCTCTAATATCTTTGTGAATAATTCCTATAGTATGATGTCTAAACTATGCATCTCACCTCTGGTTTATAGAGTTAAGAGGGCTACATGAAAGATTGAGCATAAAATAAATAGAAAAAATAGTCCATGCTGTGTGATCAGTGCAAATAGCATAGATATGTGAACTAGCTAAAAAGATGTAGATGTGGACCCCTATCTTTGACGATCCCTTCTCTTTGACAAGTATATTGGGTGAGTCTTTAGGAGAGGCCATTTTGGATGGCTTTCAGAACTTGATATATAGGGCAAGTCTCTAAAGGTGAGTCTTCAAGAACATATTATAAGTCCTGGAGAATAGATGGTGAGTCCTCTTGGCTGAAGCTGTTGCTGGCTTGGGATGAGTTTGATACAAAGAGTTATTATGGATTCTATATGTGGGTGCTTCTTGTTACTTGATCCAAAATACCCATGGGAGGTTGGTGTTTTTGATTGTGAACCATTTCTATGGGATAGAGAATTATCTTAAGAAGACTGCTCTTTGGATCAAAAACCTATTGGAAAAGACCTTTGGAGGAGCCCAACAAGGAAAATTGCACATTTGGTTTTATCTTCTAGGGGTGAATCTGTATATTTTGATGTCCATATGGGTGAGTAGCTACTTGCCCACAAACTAGTGTTAGTGAATCCTTTGGACGACAAAGATTGCTAAGGGTGAGTGCTGATTTAACTGCATGCTCTCCGAAGCTGTCCCATGAATTGGAATATGATGAGATACATATGAGTTACATACATTGGCATGTATGTGTACACAAGGATATCCTAATATAATTTATGTCAAGTTGGCTTAAGGGCCTTTAGATTTAAATTAAGATTACTATTTATCTATAATATCATGAATGGTACAAATCTCATAAGAAATCCAAAGGCAAAGTTCATCATGAAGTTATATTTTCACAAAAAATTTAGCTCAATCCCACCAAAGATATTTATATTTAACTAAATTTTTCACTAAAAGTTTAATTTTGGAATATGAGACTGCATTTATTTAGAAATTTTAGAAGATTAATTCTATGTATACTATATAGTGCATTATTTCCCCCAAATGTAAAACTTTTGTTTACTTAAATAAAATTGTTATGCTCCTCTTTATTTAATGATTAATTCTATTGATGCATGCATGTGATCAATGAATTTGTAAGCTGAATTATTAATTCAATTGATGCATGCATGTTATCAATGAATTTGTAAGCTGAATTATTTTTAAGATGTAGTTGCACTAAATTGAGAAGATTTGTTACTTATTTATTATATATAAAGGGATAATACAAAATAAGTATACTAGTTATGAAGAAATAAAATTGAAAAAAATAGGGCTTAAAACTAGATGTATTCCCATTTTTATTCAAAATATTCTTTAATCATATAAATTTTAGAAAAAAATCTAGAATATAATGGCTCTTCATGCATACTACATTTTCCTTTATCATCCCATCTATGGGATAAGAAGTTAGAGTTCTCTAAAGAGCATCATTTCTCATATTTGATTGATGGAGAAGCAAAATTTAACGGAGCATGGTAATTGGTCTACAAGGTCTATATATGATAGGGGTGTCAAAAGGGGTCAATGGGTGTGTCCAACCCGAATTGACCTGGGTCTAAACGGGTTGATTGTAACCCGACTCAGTTTTGTAAATGGGTCAGGAATTACAACAAGAAAAGGACCCGTGCGGATTACCAGGTTGACCCGAACCTAACTGAGAACCCACCATTGCATATTCCATGCATTGAGTTTGGACGCGAATGCAAGTGGCTGAGTAGGAATGTGCACGCGAGGTGAGAGGGAATGGGCAGTACGTAGGGCTTGGGAATGACCGCATGATGCATGATGATGGATTTAGAGACTAGCGTGACCACATTGGCATGAGTGACCTAGTGGGAATGCCCAAATGAGGAAAGCTCGAGCTGTAGGTGAGAAAAATGTGGGCTGCAACCAATGGATTTCAGGGTCGAGTTGTGACTCATGAGCACAGGCATAGGGGTCGATCATCTAGCACCGTGAGGGGGGGGGGTTTGCATGAGTGGGGTAGCCAGTGTTAGTCAAGGATGATGGTTGCGAGGTTGATTTAGGTCAAATCGAACCCAACCCGATTTGTAAACAGGTCGAAAACTCAAACCCGACCCATATGTCAAATGGGTTGACCCGAACCCATCATTTTTTGGGTTTGGTCTGGGTCAGGCTTTGGGTCATGTCAAATATAGATAGCCTTATTAGTTCATGTGTGTGTGCGCATACCAATAAAAGGAGCATTTGAACTTGTGTCAACAACTATTTGTTCTCAAAGATCAAGCTAAACTAAGAGCCTAGAAAAATTCACGCGAACTTCTTAATTACAATCAACCTTATTAGAGTAATAAATTCATTATGTGAAAAGAAAAAAATTAAACAAAAGTGGTACTCGCTAAACAAAAACTAGTAGCCAAGACAAGGACACTGTCTCAAGCCATCCTAATCTATCTTATAATGCGTCAAGAATTAAAATTTTAAGTTCATAGGCCACATTAACAAACATATTTATTGACTTATATTCCACAAATACATTTCATAATAAATTAACCATTGTAGTTTATGGAAATACAATTGTGATTAATTTGAATTTAAGATAAATATCTAGGTGTGCTCAACAAATATTACAATCAAAAGCATGCATCAATCATTTAATACTTCTGCTCTCCAATAAATTAAGGATATATATGCGGCATAATATCATTTTTCAATATTCTACTTAAGCAAATACTTGATTACACCTGGAATGTGAAAGTTAATCAAGTAATCATCCCATTCAATGTGCTTGGGATCACAATCAAACAACTTCATCTCATCATTATTCACCATTGCCTTTCTCAAACTTTCTAAGTTAGAATCATCAAAGCTGCAGTTAATCACAATATTGAATAAGAATATTGTCGATATCTCAAATGTAACGAATATAATTATTTATTACTCATAAGTAGTAAACTTGAGCTTACCTTCCTTTAAATAATGTATATGGTGCATAGATATCAGCAAGGCGGATCACATGTTATATTTCTTCCAATATGTGTTGAATTGTTGAGTAAATAATCCAAAAAGAGCTAGATTTATCAAGCGCAAGCCCTTAATAGGAAACCACAACACCAAAGAATATTGTGTTAACTACACACCCTTGAATAATAAGCTCAAGTTAAAATCACATATCAAGAATTACATACTATATATATAATAAAAAAAATTCTAAAATAGAAATAGAGTTTACCTCAAGAGGTAGACGATAGTGAAGAAGCATGTATCTATGAAAAATTGGCATTGTTCTAATGAAGTGAAATTTATTTGCCTTGATTTCCTTGCCATCACTACGAGTCGGACGGTTCTTCGCTATATATTGGTAGAAACATTTTTCTATTGTTGAAAGTTTCACCAAGTTTCTTACAGATGAACTCACATGATATATGACTTCTGAATGTTGATTTGAATGTGTAGCTATTGCTAAAATCATGGCATTAACCACCATGTCTCCAGGAATCTATCAAAGTTAGCATGCTTGAATAAGTTATAATAATAGAGCTAATTTTATCTTGACGTTGTGATATATTGTAGGTGTGTAAATTTGCCTTTATTATGTATATGAAACCAATATTTCATGTAAGGCAGTATTATATCATTATCACCTTAATCTTATTTTTCTTACGATTAAAATTTAAGATAGTTGACTTGAAATTATTATATGGTTGGTACAATCAGCATAGGAAGATGTTGTTTATTATTTAAGAATAAGAACAAGTTGTATCATAGTATAATATATGTGGAAAAAAATATGTAGCAAACAAAATCAGAAGGCTTTCTCCAAAAAAAAAAGAGTTTATTTTTTAAAAGAATAAACCATAGAAATACGCTTAATTTAATCTTATTATATATATATAGACACACACACACATATACATATATATATCAACATATTTATTTTCTTGTAAATATTTAGCATCAATGCAAATAAAGATAACTGACCAAATCTATAACTACTTCTGGATCTCCTAAAAAGCATAAAATATCTCCTTTTGCATAACCAAGTATTACACTGTCAATTGTCCTACAACATTAAGTGAATGTTGACTTAGATCAAGAAGCAAATGTTAACATACAAAAACATGGGAAGGTATATATGCACTTACCTACTCCTTCTATCCAACCTGTTAATGAGCCTTTATAGACACTTGTTATAATTGTTGGGTGCATGATAACTAGTGGCTTCTCTCCTCTTAAATGACCTAAAAGAATTTCTCCCATGGCCTTTGAAAATACATAGGTGTTTGGCCAGCCATACATTCTAGCCCTATAAGAAAAAATAAAACAACTTAGTAGCTTAAGATAGCATAACCAACAAACAATTAATTTGGATAGCTTATAATAACATGGCAAAACTGATAACAAAATATTATATCAAAGTGGTTGTATGGTTTATTGGTGGAAAGCCTCCTTCAATGATTAAAGAGCAAAAGTAGAAAAAAAACAAGTTATAACCAATGATTGCTAATTAACTTGCAGTCCTTCACCAAGCTAATTCAGATGAAATTATACACATATTATATAATTTCCCCTAAAATTACAAAATTACCCTTTCTAAGTAACCTATTAATAAATTTCCATAAAGAATAAACCTTGATAACAAGTCACATGAAGAGCTAAATTTTATGTTCAAATTTTGAAATTTGTTAACTAATCACTCAAATCAACACACAGACTTTCTTTCTCTCTATAAATATATTATAACAATAATAGGTTTGGCTTGAATCTGTGAAAATTTGATTTAAAATTGACCAAGTTTCATAAACCCAAGCCTTGCTAGCACAAAGTTAATTTTTTTTATTCAGGCCTTGATCAACCCATTTGAACTCGAGTCATAGTCGCGTCTAACAGCTCAATATGATCAATAATGATAAATATTAAAAAGAGAGTTATACCTCATTTTGCACGTGCTATGTAGCAAATTTGGCATCCTTAGCTCTCACAAGAAGGAAGAGTTTCTTCACATTAGGTTGAACTCTAAGAACCTTCTCCACAAAGACTTCAAACCAAGCAACAAACAACAACTTGCGTTAGAACTATATCTTTAAACTTTTGAAAGTGCAACCAAGGCTTTGTTATTTAAAGCAGAAAATTTTTGTACTAAAATGCTTCTTTAAGAAGCAGGAAGAAAGCAATCTCAAATGAAGCCTAAAACAAAATCTCATGTTATATAAGGCATATTAATAGACGAAATGGTTTGTGAGATAATACTCTTTGCTAGAAAAGCAGTGGCACCAGTGACAAAGATGCTCTTATCCTTTAAGTACTGAACTATACTACCTATCTCCAACGTGAGCCAATAGTTTTTATATAAAAACTATCAACAAAGAAATATAAGGAATCAAAGAGATGTAGATTTAAGAGAAGTTTCCTTAGGCATTTATATATACAAGATGGGATGGCATATGGCATATGTCCAAGAGATATCCTTTTCTTAAAGTGATAATTAATATGGTCATAGAATGGCCTTGTATTATTATTATTATTATTTCAATCGTGTTAGGGTTTTACGCCATCCATTTTCATTTCACGCGCCGTAGCTCTCCTCTTCTTCGCTGCTTCGTCTAGGGTTTTTGAAGTTCTCTTCTCTACAGATCTCCTCGATCTGTCTCTATAGATCTCCTCGATCTATCTTTACAGATCTCCTCGATCTGTCTCTGGTTTCCTCTTTTCTCCTTCTCTGGCATATTCTTAGTCCGTGGTTTCATGGTGTTCATCGTGCACATCTGCTTTGGCTCAACAGAAATACTTACATCTCTCGCTGTTTGTATCTCTCATCTTTTTCCCTTTCTTCTCCTTTTAGAAGCATGATATATGAGATTATGAGCATAGGAGAGATTTCTCTTGCTGTGTTGCGAAGTTCCGGCTCAATTTTCTGGTTTTTTTGGTCCAATTCAGCTGGGTTTTCTATTAGTTTACTGTAGTTATGCACTTATGTTCACTTACTGCTATATTTCTGTTCAATCGAGCCATGTCAAGCTCTATGTTCTGGTATTTTTGTGCAATTTCTGATGTTATTTCTGTGCAAACGAGCTAGGTTGAGCTCTATGTTCATGTATTTATGTGCTGTTTCTGCTGTTATTTCTGTGCAGTTTCTACTATTATTTATGTGCAGTTTCTGCTATTATTTCTGTGAAGCTACCACTGTTATTTCTGGGCACTTTTTGCTGTTATTTTTGTGTAGTATCTACTTTTATTTCTGTGCAGTTTGCTGTTATTTCTATGCAAAAGAGCCAGGTCGTGCTCTATGTTCTGGGATTTCTGCGTAGTTTCTACTATTATTTCTGTGCAGTTTCTACTGTTATTTCTGTCCAGTTACTGCTATTTTTTTGTTCAGTTATTGCTTCTAGTTGACACCCATAGAGTCTTAGTTATTTTGATGAGTTGTTGTTCAACAACATATTAAGAACTTGCAATTATTTGGTCGTTATTAGTTATTACTTATTACTAAGTATTTGGAGTAACAAGCCCTTAACCCATTAAGTATTGAAGTCATACTTCTTTTTAGTGTAGGATGGTTGGCTTGAGCAGTTAGCTAGCCGTTATAAAGTCTCAATGTGTTATGTGTATTTTTTTTAAAAAAGAAATTTTATAAATAGCATTATGAAGTTGTAATATTTTATAATTTTTTTTGTTAGATGGAGGATTCAAATACCATTCATGGGAATTCTTCTTTTGCTGAAAATGAAGAACCCCAGACTTGTGAAATACCTGTAGAGCCCTCTAACGATCAATGTAATGATGCAACAGTTACTAAGAAACGGCGAAGAATGACCTCAGTTGTTTGGGGCCATTATGAGATGTTACCTATTATAAAAGATGGAAAACAAAAATGTAAATTCAAGAAATGTGGTACTACTTATCTATGTGATAGAAAAAATGGAACCAGTAATCTTAGACGCCACCTCGAAAATTGTAAGAAAAGAAATATGCGTGATATTGGACAGTTGATTTTACAAAACAACACTGAATCTTCAATATCTATGTCTGATGACAAGTTTGATCATGATGTATTTCGTGACTTGTTTACTGTTTCTATCATCATGCATGATTTACCATTTCAATGTGTGGAATAGGTTGGACTTCGAGCAATTTTTTTATATCTTCGTCGTGACTTGCAATTATTTCTAGAAACACTGCTAGAAATGATTGCAAAAGACTATTCTTTAAGGAGAAGATTAATTTAATGGAACAGTTATCTAGAAACACTAGCAGTATTTGCTTAACATCCGACCTTTGGACATCTATAAATACTGATGGTTTTATTTGTTTAACTGCTCATTATATTAATAATGATTGGCATTTGTAAAAGAAAATTATTACTTTTGTATTCATGCCACCTCCCCATGATGGAATTTCATTGTTTGAGCAGTTACAGTTGCTTTTGGTTGAATGTAAAATAGAATCCAAGCTCTTCAGTATTGCTTTGGATAATGCTTCTGCAAATAATAGTTCAGTTGATTATCTAAGAAATCATTTGAATTTGCATGGTGCCTTGATAATAGAGGGTGCTTTTTTTCATATACGTTGCATAGCACATTTAATAAATCTTGTAGTTCAAGAAGGTTTGAAAGACATTGATAGTGCAACTACGAAAATAAGAGAAAACATTAAGTATGTTAAGGGATCTCAGGCTAGAAAACAAGAATTTCTTGATTTGGCTTTACAAAGTTGCTTGGATGGGAAACGAGGTTTACATCAGGATGTACCAACCCGATGGAATTCCACCTTCTTAATGCTTGACAGTGCAGTTTATTTTAAACGGGTTTTTCAACATTTAGAATTGGTTGATTCTAATTACAAGAATTATCCAACATCTATTGAATGGGAAAGAGCTGAAAAGATTTGCAAGTTTTTGGAACCTTTATATAAAATAACTTCTCTTATTTCTGGGTCTAAATATCATATAACAAATTTATACTTCCCTTGTATTTCAACAGCTTATGCGGAACTTAAAAATGTTTTGGGCAGTAGCCATCAGACCCTAAAGAAAATGGCTACTGTAATGATTGTAAAATTTGAAAAATACTAGTCGGAATTCAGTGATATTTTGGCAGTAGCAGTGATTCTAGATCCGAGATACAAAATGACGTATGGTGGCAACTACCTCTCCGAACTTAGGAAGCTGAAACTCAAGTTAATTTTATTGTGTGCTGACTACTATACAAGCATGAATTCTTTATTAGGAGGATGTACAAGAAACAATGAGGTTACACAAGGGTGTCCTACAAAGATTAAGTCTAAATTTTTGAAGGTTCTTTGTTGAACTTTGTACGTATATTTACCAATTTATTTATTTTTGATTTCTTTTTCTAATACCAATCCAAAAAATACAGGATTTTGCTTCATTTCAGAAGGATGCTTATACACCTAGGAAATCTAAATTAGATATCTACCTAGATAAACCTAAGCTTGATAGCAGTATTGATTTAGACATTTTAAAGTTTTGGCAAGGGAACCAATATAGATTTCCTAGTATTTCAGCAATGGCTCGTGATGTACTATGCATTTCAATAACAACAGTAGTATCTGAAAGTGCATTCAGCAATAGCGATAGAATTATAGATCAATACCGAAGTGCATTAAAACATGATATTGTTGAGGTACTAATTTGTGCTAAGGACTGGTTATACGGAGAGCATGGTGATTATTCATTTATGTTACATTTTTTTGTGAATTTATTTGCTGTCTAATTTTTCTTTAAATTGATGTAATGAACTATTTTTATGGTGCTGTCTCTAAACAGCAGAAACTGGTTTGATGGTTGGTTGCTGTCTCTAAACAGCAAAAACTAGTTTTATGGTTGGCTACTTGTCTGTGTTGTTGTTGGGTTGCAAGGTTGGTTGCTGTCTTTGGGTTGTTGCTGTCTTTATGCATTTTGCTGGGTTGGTTGTGGTGGTCGGGTTTGGTCTCTTCATTTGGTTTTTTTGTTAGCTGGACCATGTTCTCTTCTGCTATCTGTCTGCCTAGTGTTGTGTTTGTATAATTCCCGGATCATTATTTTTGGGGATTATCTGTTTTGTGGAGGTTCCTTTTCATCAGATTTTTTATTTCTGTATGTGCCTTGTTGGAGGGTTTTTTACCCATTTTCCAGATGTCTTGAAGTGCTGGGATAGTTTGCTCAACATAAAAAATAGTTGAAACTGCATAGAAATAATAGCAGAAACTAGTTTGATACTTTGATGGTTGGCTGTGTTGTTGGGTTGGTTGCTGTCTTGGTGTTGTTGCTGTCTTTAAACATTTAGGGTGTTGAGTTTGATGTGTTTTGTTGGATTACATTGGTTAATGGGTTTGCTGTGTTGTTGCTGGGTGCTTCAAAAGCCCAGGGATGTTGTGCTGAACAGAACAAATAGTAGAAACTGCACAGAAATAAACTTATATGATGTATTTTATATGATGGTTTGTTGGGAGGTTTTGTTGAACAGAAAAAAATAATAGAAACTGCACAGAAATAACAGAATAAAAATAAATTTAGTGGTTTCTCTGGCTGGTTGGCTGGGTAGCTCGGTTTGCTGTGTTGGCAGGGAGATTGGTTGGCTGTGTTGGCACTTGTCAGGGAGATTCTTTTGCTGTTATTCCTGTTTTGCTGTGTTGTTGCTGGTTGGCTGTGTTGATGGTTGGTTCCGAAAGGATTGAAAGTTGAGTAGCGATGATGAGTACCCTTCTAAGCTTATTGTGAAGTCAATTGTGGGAAAAAAGTTATTGCAACCAGGTGGCATTTGGAGGGTTAATCTGAGGTAATAACTCAAGCATTCAACTAATTCATGGATTTCAAATTATATCTATTTAATTGTTTATATTTTTTGCAGTTAGCTTATTTCTATGAGGGCAGGCCGTAGGCACAAGAGTCAAGACATCAAGGAGTTGAATATTTTGTAAATTGTAATTATGGTTTGACATTTTTATAAATTGTAATTATTTGTGTAATTTATTTGATAGTTTAATATTTTGTATAATTTGTATATTGTAATTAACAAATTGGTTTTGATTCGTAAATAAAATTTTTATTTATGCAAATTTTTGTTTATAATTTTATGTGTATCTGTTTTTGAATTTTTTTTTGAAAATAACTCGGGTTAACGGGTCATTCCGGGTTGACCCGAACCCGACTCGGGTCAGGTTCGGGTCCTGAATATTGACCCGTATCCATAATCGGGTCGGGTTCGGGTCAACCTGTTTAGCTTCTGGTCGGTTTGGGTTAGACTCGAACCCGACTCGTGACCCAGTTTTGACACCCCTAATTCAAGGCATGCCTCTATTCTTTGAAATCAGTCTGGTTCTCTTCTTTGTTCAGAAAGAAATACATTCTATATAATTAAGGCTTCATTTGCGATAGTTTTCTTATTGTTTCTTAAAGCAGTTTCTTAGTACAAAAATTTAATTTTTTGTATTAGAAAGTTGCTTTAAGAAGCAGAAAGAAAGCTGTCACAAATAAAGCCTAAGCCTCTTGTTGGTAGTTATACTTACATAATGCAATAGGATTACTTATGAAATTGTCGTATTTATGAAATTGAAGAAAATAGCTCTAATCATATCAATGGAAACAATATGGTGATTTCATATCATAAGGACGGAGCCAAAATCTGTTATTAGCGGCAGCATAAATTAATGATATTTAAAATACTCTTAATTTTTTTTTGGATAATTTTTTTTGCCTTTTAATTTAATAGTTTATATGAAATAATTTTCCGATCATTCAATATCAGTATTTATTTTTTATAAATTATTAAATTAAAAAAATGTATTAGTTGTTTAACATTAAAATCTACTTTTTTTTCTTTAAATGTTTAAGTATTAGTGTTATTAAAAAAGAAATTTATAATGTAACCCAGAGATTGTTATCCTACTATCGACAATACAGAAATATAGTTTATTAGATTATCAACTTTAAAATTACTGTCAAAAGATATTTGAAATTTAAAATTTTAAGGAAATCATATATTATACAAAAATATAATCTCATCGGTAACAAATTATTCTAATTTATTAATAATCAAATTATTAAGCATTAAAAATAAATATTAAAACTTTTATTATTTATTATAAAATAGTTATCAAATACAATTAGATTAGATAATTTTAAAATTACTACTCGTAATGAATTACATTAGTAATAATGTAATATTGAAGAAATCTGATCTTGGTATTACTTGTAGTTGTAATATGCTGTAACTAGGAGAGGAATGAAAGTTGAAGAAGGGAAAACAACAATGACTATAGTAGAAAAGTAAAGCCTAAGGAAGCTTAATTATGGCAAACATATTTGGCATAACTTTCCATTGTTTCTCACCCTTTACTTGTTAATTGTAGCTAATATATAAAGGTTTTAATACTGAGTACTTGAGACAGATAGAGTGGAATAACTTTAATGGTGTTGATTTGGTTTCAGAGAAAGCTCCTCTTGGCTTGGAGAAATTATTCTGTGCGGACACCGAATCATCCGGAGGCGAATCAGAACATGCCATGTCACCCGGTACACAATAAAAAAGTGATGTGGCGCGTTCTGATTCGCCTCCGGATGGCGTCCGTATCCCCACAGAATATTTTTACCTTTGTTTGTACTAATGGAATGTCATTGTTAATTTTTATATAAAAATAGTTATTAATCATAATAATTAATCTCTTCCCCTTCCTCTCCTGCATTCACATTCAACTTACACGATTCCACCTCCTCGAAGTTAGCCTCATCTCCACTCAAGACCTCTTCTCCTCTTTTAGTTCCATGCGCACCTACATCGTTGTCTAGCTCCGCCACGATCGTCGCCTATGCACCTGCCTCAACCCCATAGGCCAAACCGACCCCACTTGGATAGAAAAGTTTGCCTTCAGGCATGTGGTGGTATGTGCTCCCAGTGCCTCCATCGTGGCTCTGCCAGTGTTTATATGGCTATACATGTGTAAACTCTTTAGTTCATATGGCTATATTTTTCATCCTCAGAATCATAGCTTTTTGAATAGAATTATTTTTTAACCAAACACCACACAAAAATAGATAAATTTCTAATGCAATAATATTAAGACATATTTAAACAAGTGCCCTAAAATTTTCAGTAAAAAAACTATCTACATAAATATAATTTGACCTTAGTATAATCCTGTGTGCAATTATTTCTGAAATTAGAGCACGTTTATTTCGATTGCACAATATGTATTCTGTATGGCTCATATTTTCTTCTAAATTTTTTATATGTAAGAATAATCTTCTTATTTGTTTTTCGAATATCCTAAAATTTATAATTAATTAGTTATTTACAAAATAAACCAAAATGAGTTAGTGGGTCAGATTCAGGATGATCTTTTTGACCCATTTCTTAAACGTGTCCAATTTAGGTTGACTGGTTGATGGGGATATCGGATCATGGAAGATTTACCAGAGACGTGATCGTCGATATACGGCCACGATTGATTCATTGTATTTCTAATTATATAATGTATTGTTTTATTTCTATGTCGTGTAGTTTGTTTATTTTATTTTATGTCCTTTATTTCCCGTTGTACCCTTCTAGTGAATGAGTGTCGTATGTAAGCCCTGAGGGCATTTTAGTCTTTTATTTCTTGAGTCTTGTATTAGGCTATTTATAACCCACAGTTCTATTTTATGAGCAATGAATGATTGATTGAAAAGTTTCTTCTTGCATGAGTTCTTGTGAGAGCTTGAGAGTTCTAATGGAGAGAGATCCCTATGAGAGGTAGATTGGCGCAATACCCACCAACCTAGATAAGTCGGGTTTGTGGTTTCGTTCTTGTAACTTGTCTTCCCACCCTTTTCCCCTCCACCCTCATCTAGCCGCCGGTTTTCCCCACCCCACCCGACCCCCCCCCCATACCTGAACCCTACTTCCGCTGGCCCCAAGCACCTAGCTGCCGGCCAGGCCCCTCTTCCCCATTCAAGCCTTATTTCCTAATTTAGTTGGTTCAAATTTGGGTAGATTTGAAATTCAAATTTGATTAATTTGAAAAATCTTTCCTAATTTATCAAATCTATTTTCACCCCCTCCCTCACCCTCTCTCTCCATACCCGTCTCTCTCTCTCTCTCTCCAATCTCCTCTCTCCCTCATTAATACCTCACATGAACTCAAAGCTTTAATTCTCCCTCCAATTTCTCTATCTCCTAATTATAGAAATCTAAAATTTTCTCTCAGATTTTGGATCAAAATATAAAATTGTTCTCAGATTTTTGGATGGAGATTTGGGTATTGTTTCCTCTCCACTTGCAAGAGAAACTTCTTTCTCCTCGGCACATTCAAGAACACTAGCAAGACGAGAGGAGATTTGTTCCCTAACTCCCATGAATGGCGGATCCAGAAATTGAATACGGCTTAACTTGGGACGAGGACGGCTTCACCGATATTCTTTAATCAACCTTCTTCGACATTAATACAAGGATCAATCACACTATCGAAGACTATCTAGAGCGTATTTTGGACACCCTAGTGGAAGAAATCGACGAGCATTTTGAAGGCGTTGAGTGGAGGATCTCCACTGCTCCTTGAAGAGAGGTTCTCTTCTCCCCTTTTAATACCATTCTTGAATCTAACTTTCTCTTGCATTTGATTGTAGTCACGAAGGACGACTCCTACTGCTCATGCTAAGCTTAGTAAATGTAGGGTTTAAGTGCACCTTTATGCTTATTAATTTTCATTGTTAGATTAGGGATTGTATTGATACTACTATGTTGCAAATGTGTTTTCATGGATTATGCTTTTGATGTCAGCAAACACTACGACTGCCTTTTTTTATTAACATTTTAGGACCACAAGATCGGACGGGACTCAGAACCAGCTCAAGATTGGGTATACTAGGACTGAGTCAGTATGTTATTTTCTTTTTCCCCTTTTTGAGTCAATTGTAACCATTGAAGTGTTCTAATGCTAAGTAACCCTACACACACACACACACTTGAGTGATTTTTTCTGTCTGACTTTGAATTTCTGTTTTTATTCACCTCGTCCCGGACGATATTATTATCGTTCTGGATGATAGGGTTCAAAACAGAAACCCTAATCAGTCATCATAGTTAAGATAGCCGTCATTAGCTGATCGGCCTGGACAATACATGTATTGGCCAGGATAATAGGCTTAAAATAGAAAGAATCAGCCGCCATGATGTATTTTGGCATTCTTTATTTTTGGCAATCGGCCAGGACAATCTTGTATTATCCTGGATGATATGATACAATTATGCCTAAATTAATCTGGCATTTATGGGAAGTAATTAAGGATGATTGATACGATCACATCGTCCTGAATGATCGCGAGATCGGCCGGGACGATCAGTCCAAAAAACCTTAGTTACTCCTGGACAATCGATATCAGATAGCTCAAATTCCGGGCGATGGTCTGGACGATCAGATCGGCCAGCTCAAATTTTGGGCGATGCTCTAAAGGATTTCCTCTGATTTGAACTAATCATCCGGGACGATCGTGAGATTGGCCCGGACGATCAAGATATTTTGGAATCGTCTAGAACTCTATTCAGAGCGATTGTCCGGCCGATAGTCTGTGATTTGAACTAATCATACAGGATGATTTATTATCTCCCTGGATAATATGAACAACTTTATTCTATTCATCCCAGATCGTTCTGACTGATTAGGCTTAAATTGCATTGATGATATAGGACGATATTAATATCGTCCTGGACGATAATGTCGGAAACTTGCAATTAATGAGCTATTTTGAAGCTCTTTTATTTAAGAGCTATTGTTCAAAGTTTTGAATAATCTATTGCTGCTGCCTTGACCTGAAAAAGCCTAGAGGAGAGGAGAGAGAGGGAGAGAGAGAAAGGATCTTGTGAGGGGGAGCTTGTGAGGGAGATTCATAAGGGTTGCTCCAAGCATGATTCCACTTCTTCTTCCACTAGAGTCTCTTGTCCTTGGAAGGGTTGGGAGAGGTAAGCTTTAGCGATCGATCAATTTTCTCTGCTTGCTTCAGGAGGAAGCAAAAGGAGTTGGGTTCTCTGCCTTGCCGGGGGTGGCAAAAAGGAGGTTTTTGTAAGGGCTTCTCCGCTTTGATGTGGGAGAAAAAGGAGAGTCACTTTGGTAGTGCAATACTCAGAGGGAACCTCCGGGGAGTGGACGTAGGTCGAGTTGACTGAACCACTATAAACCCTTATGTTCTTTTTTCTACTTCCGCATTTAATTTTTGCCGCACTTATTTTCTGTGTTGATTTTGGTTTGAGCTTTGTTGTGCTTTTGTTAAAAGATTTTTTAAAATACCAATTCACCCCCCTCTTGGTTAGCCTTGGGTATGTTCATAAGGGCCTAACATCCCTAACTAACTTTCAAGTGGTATCAGAGCGGGATTCCTAAAAACTGAGTTTGAAAACCTTTTGAATTTTGATCTATGGATAACTTTAAGAATCGTAATACAACTGAAGGATACTCTATTACACGGCCACCCTTGTTGGACAATCTACCTTTTGATTTTTAGAAAACTCGCATGTCTACTTTTTTACAATCAACTAATTATCGCATGTGGATCCTAATTAAAGAAGGATATTCTTCACCTTCTCGTGAACTTAATGAAATTAGAACTGAAGTGCCTTTTACTGATTGGACTTTTGATAACTTAATGCGAAGTGTTTAAACTATTTTTTCTATGCTTTAAAGTCTGAAGATTACATGCATGTTTTTACTTGCACTACTAGTAAAGAAATTTGGGATAGATTGTGCATTACTTATGAAGGAACCAATGAAGTTAAATAATCTCATTTGAATATTTTCTTGCATGATTACGAACTTTTTCGTATGAAACCTTCTGAATCAATTTCTGACATGTATACAAGGTTTACTCAGATTGTAACTTCTTTGTATGCCTTAGGAAGAGAACTTTCAAATTATGAAAAAGTGAACAAAATTTTGAGATGCTTGCCTTCCTCTTTTGATGCTAAAATCACCTCCATTACTGAATCTAAAGATTTGAATACTTATTCGATTGACAACTTACTTGACTCACTTATTGCTTTCGAGCAGAGGTGAATCAAGGAAATCTTGATGTAGATGAGAAAAGAATGGAGAAAACTGTGGCATTGAAGGTCAACAACACGAACTCTGATTCTTACGGATCTGAAAGCGATGACATTGCCTTAATTACAAGGAAATTCAAAAGATTTATAAGGAAGAGTCACAAGCATCATCAAAATTGGAGGAAAGGTAAGGATAAAAAACATTCTAAAGGATCTTCTGATGTTGTTTGTTTTGAATGCAGGAAGCCTGGACATGTTAGAGCTGATTGTTCTACACTTCAGGATCACTCTAGCAAAGAAAAGAGTGAGGAG